CTGAGGTACAACCGCATATGCTCCAACCCCTCAGACAGAGACCTACACCTACAAGACCTTCAACAAGCATTCTGTAAACTGCGATACCCACACGAGGAAGTGAGGAGACAGATTGACAGAGCCAGACGTGTACCCAGAAGCCTCCTGCTACGGGACAAGCCCAAGAAAGAAACCAACAGAACACCACTGGCCATCACCTACAGTCCCCAGCTAAAACCTCTCCAACGCATCATTAGTGATCTTCAGCCCATCCTGGACAATGACCCCTCGCTCTCACAGGCCTTGGGAGGTAGGCCGGTCCTTGCCCACAGACAACCCGCCAACCTGAAGCATATTCTCACCAGCAACTACACACCGCACCATAATAACTCGAACTCAGGAACCAATCCTTGCAACAAACCTCGGTGCCAACTCTGCCCACATATATACACCAGCAACACCATCACAGGACCTAACCAGACCAGCCATACTGTCACTGGTACATTCTCCTGCACATCCACCAACGTAATATATGCCATCATGTGCCAACAATGCCCCACTGCTATATACATCGGCCAAACAGGACAGTCCCTACGTAAAAGAATCAATGGACACAAATCTGATATTAGGAATGGCAACATACAAAAACCTGTAGGGGAACACTTCAATCTTCCTGGACACACAATTGCAGATCTAAAAGTAGCCATCCTGCAGCAAAAAAACTTCAGGACCAGACTTCAAAGAGAAACTGCTGAGCTACAGTTCATCTTTAAGTTTGACACAATCAACTCTGGATTAAACAAAGACTGTGAATGGCTTGCTAACTACAAAAGCAGCTTCTATTCTCTTGGAATTCACACCTCCAGATCAGCTGCTAGAAGTGGGCCTCATCCTCCTTGATTGGATCCACCTGGTCATCTCCAGCCTGATCCTGGCCTGCATATTTATTCCTGCCTCTGGAAATTTCCACTACATGCATCTGACGAAGTGGGTCTTTGCCCACGAAAGCTTATGCTCCTACACTTCAGTTAGTCTATAAGGTGCCACAGGACTCCTCGTCGCTTTTAAAGTATACTGGAAATATTTATTTTATTAGCAGTTTCTTTGTTTTCTTTTTTATTTCCCTCACTTCTCTTTGCTGAATACTGTAAGAACAGTTCTGTCTTTGTCAGTCAATCTCCTAGCCCTATGCTGTTGGAATTGGCATATATTTTAATTAAGTAAGAATTACATGATCTGTTTTAATTACCTGAGGTTTACCACAGCTTTATTTTGTGCCTGAAATTAACTTGGTTTATAACTGCCATGTCAGCAGCAACTTTCTAGTCAGTGAAAAATATTTTTTCACTTCCATTTTGCTTATATAAATTCCTTTTTGCCACAATCAAAGGGTGGATTCTTTATTAGATACGGTTATTGCTATTTACATGGCTACTATTTATTTATCCTCCAGGTGCCTGTTGTTCTGCACTGCAGTATGCAAATGTCCCATGTAATAACATGCAGCCCCCACATATCTTTTTTAATGAAAATTATTTTTAATGGCTGTGCTGTGTGTGCTCATCAACATTTTAGTTTTATTTTAATAGGACATTTGAATATATGCATTTTGGGTTTAGTTCTGGCAATCTGTTTTACTGCACTGAATCAGTTTTTAATGAAGTTTAAGTCAATATTAATTAAAGAAATTCCACTGCTTATGGGCAATAGTGCATTATTCGTTCATTGCCCACATTACACCTGCTCTTTAGGATATAAATCAGCACTTGTTCATCCTAGCTCTGACATAATGATAATGGTGTCGTTATTGGAGAACTTGTTCTATTACCCGAGCATTCTATTAACAAAACACCATAATGTATCACAAGGGAGAAATGTATGACTAAGATTCCCTTCATTCACCATTATTCAGACTGAGCATTTGGCAAATACACATACTCCATATCCTTTCGATGATGCCATGTTGCAAGCTTATATAGACTCACATGCACATTCCTAAAGCACTTTTGGAAAAAAACCACATAAAATATGAAAAGCAAGATGTGTTCAGTTAATATGAGCATCTGAATTTAAGAATAATATATGAAGTTAGATTTGAAAATGTTCATTCAGCTTGGACTTACCCTGGTTACCTGCCAGCTGATTTTAAAGTTGATCCATTGTTAAAAGCGTACTGTATGCTACCTGGATATTTGTATCTCTTTGGACCAGCTTCAGATAATCTTTAAAAATTTTGAGCCTCGTACATAGAAAATAGCTGTTTAAAGTTGTGCCAGCCATTTAAATTGTTAAGAACATTTTGAAGTTCATTCTTTCACTTACATTTCAATGTAGTTACCGCAAATGTGGTTAAGATGCTGAACAAGTGACTTTGCTGCATGGAAATTCATAGTCTAGTTCATATATATTGTGGCCTATGGGAGGATTTTTCAGGAAAACTATCTTACATATCAAATGATGGTCCGGGAGACGTGGCTGCTCTCCTTGTTTTCCTGTGATAACATTCACCAAATTTTGGAAATAATGCAGGGTTGATTGAGGGAAATATTAACTACAGAGCTGAAATATTCAAAAAACACAGAGAATCCCAGGCCATCCCAGAATCAAGGACTGAGCTCCAACATAGGTAATGCTGGTATGTAAAGTGAAGTACTCAAAGAACTCTCTTGGGGTACGTCTACACTACAGTGCTAATTCGAACTAAGCTAATTCGAACTAACGCGTCTAGAACTAAAAACTAGTTCGAATTAGCGTTTTGCTAATTCGAACTAGCATGTCCACATTAAGTGGACCCTGAACCGGGGTTAAGGATGGCCGGAA